TTCCTGTCACTTACCTAGAGTTTCAAAATTACATCACATTACATTGGTGAAATCCCTACGGCCTGTCCCTTATGCATCAATTCAGCTTATTCTCCATATTACTTGACCTTCCATTTTTCCCACAATTTTCTTTTTGTACCCTGTATCAAAACAACAGTCTTCAAGAACTGATAAAATAATTGCAAGTTTGCTTCCATAATTTCACTTTCTTACAATGTGAAGACTGCGGAAATAAATGTCTTCAAAAGGATCACAATTGGTGGGTGGTTCACCATCTCAGTAATGCTTACTATTTTAACATCCATAGTATATAAACGTAAAATTGTTTTCTTGTTAATGAGCGTGGTACCTTAGAACTATATGGTGATGCACAGAGAAGAAACTTCATGCAGTCTTAAACACAGCACTGGAGAGAATTCAGTGGGTAAGTTCATCTTCCAGCCACTCTGTCATGAAGGAAATCCACCTGATCAGAGGTTGAATGGACCACACAACTGTTGTGGATGTTGTAAAACATAGAAATTCCTGCCGTTCAACTAGAAATTAACCTTATCTGTCCCTCCCAAAACTCACTGCAGTGACTGCGCTTCGTTTCAGCACCCCACATAGTCACTTAAAACGTGTACAGTCAACCAATGGTCTGGAAGTGGTGGCTCTTCATCATATCATTTGTAGAAATCAAATTCTGGGTCAATATTGTCAAACAGTCAAAGTAACAAAACACTCAGTAATATGAAACTTTGACATAAAAACGTCAAATATAATAATTTCATAGATTCCTCTTGCTGGGAAAGGGCCCAATATTTAAAACTTTCCCAAGAGTCCCAGTCAAAACTAACTTTGCAACATTACAATGAATAGAAACACACAGGAGAGCTGTAGTAGTAGCGATGTCAGCACACTATACTGTGGGTAATGATATAAATTTTGAATTAAAAACTGATAATTACAGTAGCTTATGATAATACACAAAATTCTCAGAATGTTTCACAGTAGCAGAACTGGAGTTAACTTTCTTCATGGATAAATTTAATAAATGTCTATGTACTCATATTTCTTTCAATACAAATTTATACAGGCTTTAACAAAATGGTTGTACATTAGAAACAATTTTTTATTCATATGCATGTAACATGATATGGAATTGGAAACTAGCTATAAAAGAAAACAGTTTCTTGGATTTATTTCTGAGATATATACTGTACTTTAATTAATTTATGCTAAACGTTAAAAGTTCGTTGGTATCATTTATACAGTATTATCTTTATTTAGAAAACAATAGCAAGGCAATATCATAAACCTTTCACTACTGCATATCATAGTAGATGAGCATATGTCCCAGTCTTTGTAATTTCGAGATGATTTGAATTAATCTCTCTTTTTTTAATATTGAAATATATTGCCTGGAATGTAACTGTATATATTATTTATGTGTATTTATAAAGTTCAAAGATGTAATGTAGGAATGGTTTGACACTGTCTTGATTCATAGTTACTGATAATTTGGACTGCAGAATTAATTTCAGCTGTCAGATGGCACTCAGTAAACATAGAAGGAATGATCAATATGGTGACCTCTCGAGTGCAAAAACCGGGAGGTAGACCAGCCATCCATGACATGGTGTCATAGCCCAAGAAAAGAATACACAAGTCCCATATTACAATGGCCTTGAGATTCAGTCCACAGACCTCCAGCAAGAAATGCAGTCATGCACATGCAAGCCAGTATGTTAAGTGAAAATGATATAACCTTCATTATAATGATTAGAAAGTTACAGTGAAGAATGGTAACTGTACAGTTTTTTGGCTTTACACTGAAGAAATAATCCACTGACAATATAGTTGACATAACTGAGAGGAGCACTAGGTGTCAGTAAAGGGCAGACAAGGCACAGAAGATATGTCCTTCAACCTAAAATATTACATAAACACAAGCATCATTCAGGTTTAGGTAGAATTATTAGTACAAGTCACATAGACAGTGGTGGAAACTATTTTCATTGTATGTATACCTGTATGCCACCTGGGATGTGTGTATATTGGCTGAAGGCGCAGCGTTACTAACTAAAGAAGAGTGGAAAGAATCTGGTTCAGCATACATTCTCCAAATACCATATTGCAATTAATTTTTGTCTCTCTCTTTGGCCTTGATGTAGAGGTTACACTCACGCACACAAATACTGAACCCTTTTCTTCTAACACCATCTTTGCCAGTAGTTTCATGCTAGGTTTAAGTTTCATTCTCCAAACATACAATGATCTGACAGGTACATGGCTTTTGACAAGTTTTTCGGCATATCAGCTGTTTGTTGATAAGAATATTGGCCGAAAAAGCACTACACATGGGCACGCACACACAGACAGACAGACATACAGACAGATGCACATACATATCCACTGTTTGCTGGTATGTGTACCTACTGAAAAAGCACTGTGGATATGCATATTATATTTTCACGTGCACAAATACATGCATATTGGCAAATATACACATTATGCAGTATGTATATAGACACATAAGTGCAGTGAACAGATTTGGATAATTAATGAAATCCACCATAGGGCTGAATAGCAAATTACTGCTACCATGGACTGAAGTACCATATGTTCAAAAGTAAGTAATGACCAAAGGGGTGGGGAAACTGAGCATAGTGGTAGAAGGGACTTTCATGCGCATGCGTGATTTTTTGCTAACTCGCAACACTGCCGGATGCGTCTGTGGCTGCCAGATAGCGAACTGGTGAAACACGTGTTCGTCGCATTCTCGTTTCGCTCAAGATGACAGAACACTTGGAGCAGCGATACTGCATTAAGTTTTTGTCAGAAACTTGGGGATACCCAAGCGGAAACAATCCGCAAAATTCAGCAGGCTTTCGGCGATGATGCAATGGGGCTCACTCAAATTAAAGAGTGGTTCAACCGCTTTAAACATGGCCTATGTTGGCGGACAGTGAGCAGCGTTCTGGGAGACCATCAACGAGCGGAAATGCTGATGTCATTGAAAAAGTGCGGACACTGATCATGGAGGACCGTCGTTTGGCCATCCGTGAAGTTGCTGATGAGGTTGGGATCAGCAGAGGTTCCACAAACACAATTTTAACTGAGGATTTGGTCGTGCGAAGCTTGGCGGCAAAAATTTGTGCCCAAGCTGCTTTTGCCTAAGCAGCAACAACGCCGTCTTGAGGTCGCGCAGGACATGCTGGAGTGCCCCAACAGGGATCCTGAGTTCCTAAAGACTGTGATCACTGGTGACGAGTCGTGGGTGTAGGGATATGACCCGAAAACCAAGGTCCAGGCGTCACAATGGAAGCATCCAACATCCCCGAGGCCCAAAAGAGCACGACAGGTTCGGAGCAATATGAAGGTGATACTGACTGTTCTTTTTTTCAATTACCGGGGTGTTGTGCATCATGAGTACGCACCACTAGGCCAGACTGTCAATAAGGAGTACTACCAAGAAGTCCTCCGCCATCTTCGTGATGCAGTTCGGCGCAAGGGACCGGAGCTGTGGGACGCACACAACTGGCAGCTGCATCATGACAACGCCCCGGCTCATTCATCACACCTGATCCAGGGTTTCCTGGCCAAGCACGGCATTCCGCAGGTTCGCCAGGCTCCCTACTCTCTTGACATGGCTCCTTGTGATTTCTGGCTGTTCCCGAGACTGAAGACACTGCTAAAGGCTGCCGTTTTGACAGCCGCGAGGACATCATACAGAACGCGACGGCGCAGCTGCACGCCATTCCAAAAGAAGCCTTCCAGAATTGCTTCCAGTGATGGAAGGACTGCTGGGCTAAGTGTGTGGAGTCACAAGGGGCCTACTTTGAAGGGGATTAGGTTTTGTAACCACCCAGATACAGAACTTTTTTCCCCCGGCCCAAGGTCAGATACTTTTTGGGCAGAGTAGTATGTGCTTAAATCTGGTTACCTGAAAAGGGAAACCAGGGGCATGCTCTGTAACACCGTATTGAAATGCAACAGATCTTAGGGAGGTGTTCAGTGAGATTATCTTGGCATCCCAGAAACTGTCAAAATTCTCGGGCAAAAGAGTCACCCTCTCATTAGTCATAAACTGTAGATTTGTTTGTTCTACTAGCAGACCAACAACGATTCTGCCTGAGATGTTCAACTTTTTGTGTGACACAGAAATAATCTTCCTTCCCTTCCCTTTTCGAGAAAGAAGGTGAAAGAATTTGGAGGGGCGGAGACAAGGAAGGAAAAACAAGGGAAAATAGGTATTTTTATCCTCTGTATATTTCTTCATATGATCCATTCTTGAGATACGTAATAAAACTTTATTTGAACTTCACATAATGAAATTCACCTGACAACTTAAGTACCAATCGCCAGTACAAAACTCCAGCAGAATTTAACGAGTTGATTTGGAGATTAATCAAGCATGTAGGTGAACACGCAGATGGATGGTTGGATAAATGGACAAAACCATCCAATTCAGTCGCCATACTTCGTATAAAGAGGCATAATAAATACTTAAACACATTGTATTTCAAGTTTTCATTCCTACATCAACTTATTAACCATTAACGGCCAAAGTGCCCCAATCGGCCCAGTGATGAGTATGGTCGTCGTGGTGGCCATAGTACCCCGTTTTGGCCAGTCGAGCATTTGAACTCCGCTAGTGGAAGCGCGCGCACACTCCGCTAGTAGTAGCTCATACAGAGTCATAAATATTAATTTTTAAATGTAGTAATTACCAGACAGACTTCAGTAAAACCATAATAGAGGAATTAAAATGATACCTAAGTGAACAACAGGAAAAAAAGAATATACGTATGGGTTATGCAGATTCTGCAGATTAATGTGTTAAAAATACAGGGTGTTTCAAAAAGAGCTTTACAACTTTGAAAACTTATATAAATTTATACAGTGGACATACACAACGTTTTGAACTGTCATAAGGTAGCAAAACACACCGAGTCTTACCTCGGATAATTATGGTTCAACTTCCATTGGTAATGTGGCAGACGTCCCACTTTAAGTCAGTCTCTTAGCCACACACTACGTAGCATCTCTGGCGTCATTTCTGCAACTGAGGCAGTAATTCGAGCTCGGAGCTCAACGACATTTGCAGGCAAAGATGGTACGAAGACTCGATCTTTAACGAATCCCCATAAGAAAAATTCCAGGGGAGTAAGATCCGGGGAACGAGGTGGCCATGCTATCGGCGCCGCTCTACCAATCCATCGACCTGGGAAACGGGCGTTGAGGTACTCGTGCACTTCTCCAAGGTAATGAGGAGGTGCGCCGTCTTGCTGGAAGTGAATGCGTCCTTCTTGGTCATCTTCGTCTAACTGTGGAATGAGGAACTCTTGGAGCATGTCTAGATATACGCTACCGGTAATGGTCCTCTCCATGAAGAAGAAGGGGCCGTACACTCTTTCTGTGCTAAGGGCACAAAACACGTTCACCTTTGGGCTATCACGAACATGTTCCAGGGATACACGTGAATTTTCGCTGCCCCAGATTCTGCAGTTGTGGGTATTGACCTTACCACTGACATGAAACGTGCTCTCATCACTGAAAATTACGGAGTCCAGAAAATTCTCATCGTCTTGTATCCGATGAAACATTTGCATACACAATTTCTCATGAACCACCTTATCTACATCCGTAAGGTGCTGAACGATGGATAGTTTGTACGCTTTTAACAATACAATACGAATACAATACAAATACAATACAACGTTTTCGTAACACTCGCCACACAATAACATCTGGAATACCAGTTTCCCGAGACGGACGTCGCGTTGACTTCGAGCGAAGGTCTGCCCAATCTGTTCCACTGTAGCGTCAGAAACACGTGGCCGACCGGGTGGCTTGGCATGGCGCACAGAACAGCCGGTCTGAACAAAATTCTTATGCCAGGAGTATATGTATTGTAGGCCTACTGGAAGGTTCCTTGCGTTACTGAGTGTGCGAAATTTCGTTTGAACTTGTGCAGCAGACTTCGTTTCTACGAACCAAAACACACAACGAGCACGCTCTGCACCTGTGAAAGTAGCCATCTTGATTTCAACTGCAGGAGCACTCGCGGTGGCGGTATTGTGTACTAAAATACCACGTGCATGAAACTTGGTGTGTTTTGCTACATTATGACAGTTCAAAACGTTGTGTATGTCCTCTGTATAAATTTATATAAGCTTCCAAATTTGTGAAGCTCTTTTTGAAACACTCTGTATATAGTAAAACTCGATGTACATACCTTTTTTGTTGTTATCTGCTTGATGTATATATAGGCTGAAATGGAACTACAGTATTCAATTTCACTACGCACACAGAAAACATATCGCACTCTGTATCAGCCATGATGTAACTCTCTGTTCACGACCCCAGAAAGGGCAGTACTCTCTTGCAGCTATAACAGAAGGTCTTAGCACTGAAGAAGGGACCCCTCCAGCTTTCTCTTGTATAGCCATTCTTTCATTCTTCTGTCCTTTAGTCAAAAGATTCTAAAATCTGAAGAGTAAGCAGTGCTAGCAGAAGACTTAAGTGATTTTATTGCTTCCATCAGTTTTATGACACCAGGTACTGCTAAACTTTGTCAAATGTTACAAACAGACACTTTGTTCTTTACTGATACAAACAAAGTTAATTCGATTCATTTATCATAATAATTGAGTTAGATACAGCATTTTTAAACGCAATCCTTAAAATTGTTTAAGCACCCTAACAGGAACGGACATTTAAACTCAGAGTAGCAACGGGCATTTAAATAAACTCCAGCCAGCTCAAGCTTACCACTATTTCAGAAGTCCAGCATTTAAAGGTGAATGTTCTCATCATCGAAATCTAGATCTAGATTGCATGATTTGAGGTTCTCACAGCAGTGGGTATTAAGAGTTCTGTCTTCTGTGATACAACTTCATGTAATCCATTGAAAGTCAACTTTCGACAGACTACTCGATGTTATGTCCCAGAGGACAAAACTACTGAAAATAATACTTATCCTCAGAGCAAAGCCAGCAGTTTAAATCAGTAAACATTAAACTGTAATGGAATCGTGTTTAAACCAAGGTCAACAACTCATTAATCTATCTAAATGCAAATCAGGTTGCTGGACACACAAGAGACCTTGAAAGGCCAGATATAGTCCAGAGGTTATTAAATCATGAATGTATGTTCAAGTGTAATGCCAGGCCACAGAAAATCTGCAGCCAAATATAAAATATCACTAACAATTCTGATTTCACTTTGTATGTAGAATTTATTCCCCTTAAATACCCATATTAAATTCCTTGACATGCATCTGGCTTCTGTTTTGATCAATTCCATCAGTATTGAGGAAAAGTAAACTTTTCTGTATACATGTAGTAGTAGAATTATGTAAATGATGAAAAAAATGTGAGTTCTTTCTGACTGGGTTGTCATAGGGTCCACTGGTAGACTTTGAGATTTGTTTGTTTTGTATTTTGTATGTGACATCTTTGTTCATAGAAAGAAAGCCACTGTTAGAGTATGAACAGACTGGCTTGTGCTGCACTTCACTATTTTACACAGATGTATAATAAAAATATTATTTTCTCTGTGAAATTTGGTAAGAACTGCTATGGTGATCACAGCAAATGACAGACTACCCAGTAAGGGACTTCACAAATTTAACTCTTCACCTAATTTCTGAGATGATTAAAATAAGAGGGATAATAAGTTCAATCTTAGAGCATTACATTACATTACAAACAATTGAACTAGCTTAGAATAGGATAAGTTGATGGGATTTTGTGGACTGATAATTAGCCTTCTGGTTCCATAAAGCAAAACATTTTTAGTCCAGCAGCCTTGTGCCATTTAGTTATTAGTTACCTTGGTTGTAACTTTTATATTTCTTTTTAATTCCTTGCAACTAAAATTTTAAAATGAATCAATCATGTGGAGCCACTGTCCTTCACTATCCCCAGTTGTTGAAAACAGACATAAGGCATATTGAATTTCATTGGCTGAGACCTACCAGAATTATATCCGTACATTAATTCAAATTGCTTACAATTATAAGGGCAAGAAGATGCTGTGAAAATGGATCTAGTTTAACATGCTTACTTACTTACTTACTTACTTACTTACTTACTTACTCACTCATGGAGCTGAGCCCTTCTTGAGGAGCTGCCAATTCTGCAGCTACTCAAGAATTTCCCAGCATTTTATGGAACCCGAAGGTTCATCACCATGTTCACAAGAGCCCTCCACTGGTCCCTATCCTGAGCCAGATCTATCCAACCATACCATCCCATCCTATCTCTCTAAGATTCGTTCTAATATTGTCCACCCACCTACGCCTTGGTCTCCCCTGTGGTCTACATGTGATACTTAGTTTTCTACCTCTGTATACTTTTGCAATTCTTTTTTCTTTATTACTGAATTGGACTTGCCAATCCAGTTTCTTGTTTCTGCTGCCTACCTGTGGTACAGTCACATCTCTCTGCAAGTGAGAGTTTTTTTTAGTACTTTTTAATTTTTCCATTTTTCTTCATTCACCCATGCTTGAAGAAAATTGGTTTACAGACAGACAGTGCTACCTTACCTCTGTTAGCTCTTTGCTGTCACCTTGTAAGGCTGTTAGCTGAAGCAAGCTAAACTGTGACATCATAGAGCAAACTGCTTTTCAAATCATAAGTGGCACATGTTATAAATGATCTCAGATTCTAAGGCAAAGTCCATTGTCCATTGTCCATTTATTTTCCATATATATCCCTACAAGTTAAAAAACCAGGATGTGGAAATTGTCCTTTGAATACAGATATCAATATGCATATACAAGATCAAAATCATATACATCAATCAATAAACATAAATAATAATGTAAGGTAAAAGAATCTAATAAAAATAAACATACATTAAGAATAACTTACTCACGTTATTAATCCCACTTGGCTTTAACAAGCCAAGGGATAATAAAACAAGTCAAATACATATACATACATGTGTGTTACAAGATACAAAACAAAACAAGCAAGACAGGATTATGCCACATGCAATAATACCATAATAATACAAAATTTATAATAGACTGACATAATATCAACCATAACTTTTAAAATACCACAAATTTAGGTAACAATCAACAAACCACAGACATATATGTACTCATCCACATAAATTACTACAAGGAAATGCTATCCTTCGATCTGCAACATTCAAAATATTCATCCAAAGTATAAAATGAATGAGAAATCAAGAAATCCTTCAAAGCAATTTTAAAATCTTTACAATTAGTGAACAACTGCTTTAGATATAAGGGTAAGCTATTAAACAATCTGATACCCATACAGTATGATCCCTTCAGGTATAGTGATAGATGAACTATAGGTTGATAAAAATTAAGATTAAAACAATGTCTTGTATTTCTACTATGTATATCAGTTGTAAACTGATATAAATTTATATTATCAACCACAAAGCATAATAAAGAGTAAATATACTGAGACTGAAGAGGAAGAATTTTCAATGTCACGAATAGCTGCCTACAAGAGTTCCTGTAACCAGTACCTGTGATTATTCTAAGTACTCTTTTCTGTACACGAAAAACACTTATAGCATATGATGAATTACCCCAAAATACAATACCAAATTTCATGAGTGAATGAAAATAAGCATAGTACACCGTTACTAATGTTGCCTGATTAACATATGGCTTCAAGGCTCTAATAGTAAAGCAAGCAGTGTTGAGTTTGGAAAGTAGTTGGTCAATATGTTTCTTCCATGACAGAGTATTTACAATATTAATACCCAGAAATTTAGTAGATCTTGTACTCAAAATATTCTTACTTCCATTGTTAATACTGATGGAATTGCACTGCTCCTCTATGTTTTTGGCTATAAATTTAATAAAATGCGTTTTCGAGAGATTTATGGATAATAGGTTTGCATTGAACCATGTAATTAAAATATTGGAGACTTTAATGAAGAAGCACTAACTTAAAGGGACTGCTTATAGGCTGAAACCTCCCTTGAAATGTCTGCGAAGGAAATTTTGGGACATATGCACAGACATATTTATTATATGTTTATATATCAAAATTTAATGTCAAGTAAGAAACAGATTTTAAAATGTGTAAAGAAATTTAGGTTTTCATGGTGGTGACAATGAAAATTGCTGTCTTCTGGGATATGACACCAATCAGTGTTGTAAATCGCTACCAACATTTTTGAAGACTGTGCTGTAACATTATGTAACATCATATCCCCCCCACCCCAAAAAACTGCACTCTTCACCTGCAACAATTTTCAGCCACAAATAATTTTTCTGCTCACTGTGAATAAATATAAATTTTTCCCAGCAATTCATTGAAAGAATTTCAGTGGACTGCAATCCTAGTTAACACTTTATGTGCTACAGCAGTTGGTTTCCTTGCCTTTATACTTTTCATCTGACACATTACACTGAAAAGGAACCTGTACTATCATCTTCGTGTTTTAAACAAAATATCTGCAGCATCTCACAAACTGAATTTCTATGTTAGCATGAAAAATCTAAAATAAAGGATGTCTTTTGGATAGAAATTTTATTATGAAGTTGGTTATATGCTGTTACTTCCATATACATCTCTACTGCTAATGCCAAAATCCTAGGAGAAATTCAGTTTGTATAAATGATAAATAAGGAACAGAGAGGCTATGGGTAAGTTTGAGCTACTGTTCCAAAATTTTCCTCAAGAGACAAACTGAAATTATGAAACAATTAAGGAATACTGCTCCCTGAATTCAATCCACAAACCGCAGTGAGAGAGAGGTTTCGCAACTAACTTTAATTTTGTAATTCACATAGTGTGGGGTGGAGTCCAGCTGGGTCCTCTTGACACATCGGCCACTGATTGGCCTGTTGTACATGCACTGGTTGATTATGATGATGGAGAATTTGGTGGAATGAAGATTGACAGGGGAAATAGAAATAGAGAAATTTATTGCAAATTTAATATTGTAACAAGGATGTATTGATATATGAAACTGGTATCACAAAATATACCCACTGTTAACATTGGCCATTTTATGGGATCAGAAGAGCAGCCAGCAATGCATTTGTATACCTGGTGATGGCTGAAAGGCCAAAACACGTTGCAAGTGATTAATGCATAGTGTATATATACAGAAGTTGTGCTGAATGAAATAAATAAAATTTAAGTAACTCACTTCTTCTATATATTTTATGCTACACTTGCAAGAAAATAACTTTTATTGTAATGTAAAAAACCTAAAACTTTGCTTTCATGCAAACTTTGAAAACAGTTTTACTTATGGAATTTTGCAGAACTACATGTTCAAGCTCTCAAGAGCTATATCAAAATCTTCAAGGAAGGAGGAGAAAATTTATATTCATTCTCTTGCTTACATTGGTTTCATGACAGCTGTAGAAGATAAAAGGGTAAAATTGTTCATGTGCTTAATTAATTAAGCACTAGGCCATGAAGACTTGTGGGGGAGTGGAAATATAGCTTTACCCCCAGTACCCTTAGGTTGGGATGCTGGGTGGGCCTTAGAGCTGTTGTGGATGCTGAAGAGAAGAAAAAATCTTGCTTCTGCTGGGAATTGAACCCTTGCTGTCCAGCCTTGAGCAATGCCGACTCTCTGACAGGTGTGCTACAAAACAGAAAATGTAAAGAAGTAAATGCTTATTGTTGCGTGAGTCACAGGGGAAACAGTGATATTCTCTCTTTCTCTCTATTTTTTTTTGTGAACTGCCAAAGGGTTAACAAAATCTTTGGTAATGGAACCTGAAGATTCAAAACTGCTCATATCAGACCCACGTATGATCCAGAGTTAGTGCAATTCTCAAAATGAGTTTCTCAAGCTCCAGTTTAATATTATTCTACCAGTTCCTTGGTCCATCAAGTGATTGCTTACTAGGTTTCTCTACAAAAAATCTGTTTGCAGTTATAGGTATTTTACTCCTATCTGAGCTACATGTTCAGCACATCTCTTCATTTAATCAGCCGGACAACAGTAACTGAATTGCATGTGGATGCTGGCATGGGTAGGAGAGGGCGAACTAGGCATCTGTTCCCCTAGATTTAAAATAAATATAAGTAGAATAAAAGAAGTAAGTATGTCAAATACTCATACAAATTACAGTGTCCTTTTAAACCTGTAAATTAATCTTAAATTACTAAATTATAAGTTAGCAAGCAAATTCTCTGGCTCTCCCCTTGGAAAATTGGCTTCCCCCACCCCCAAAAAATCCTTCATTGTGTCAGAAGAGCAGTTGTGAAGGAAATAAGAAACACGTGTATTAGGTTACTTTGTTCTATATGTGCAGGACTCACGTTGGTGAAATGATGTAAGGTGGAATGCCGGATGTGAGCCGTTCTGACTCTCAGCGTTCTGATTCATCACGGCCTCGCGTCTCCTTCAATCGCGACGTTCATGTCAAACGAATAGGTGAGTCAATCAAATATATATACATAGCCAATGATAGTGAAATGAATATTGGATTGAATATTTCCTATTCAAAATGTTGAACTCATTAAAGGTGACATGAGTATTTTCTTTTATTCTTGTATGCAAATGCATGCATGCATGTATGCTAGTATGAATGAACATGTAAGAGGCATGGCTAGAGAATAAGCACCTCACAATCACAGACCACTCAACAAGTTTCGGATATCAGTCAATTACTAGTGAGAAACTCCTTGTGTAATTACTTTTTGGTTACTAATAGTGAACTCTATCTTGAACTCTTAGCTTATTTTAAATCTTTGCTGTTCTTAATGTAAGTGTGGTAAACAGGAAAATTACGTGTCCCCTGTTACCTTTAACATTTTGAAATATGGTCTATAAAGGACACTTAAATTAGCTGGTCCACGTGCTTAGGCTACCGTGACAGATACAAGCTGTGGCCACAGTTTGCAAGCACTTTACAGATGAAAAGCCCTATCATCAGGGACAGAACGCCATACAGTCTGCTGAAAGTTGACTGATGTTCGCCTCCATCTTCAGAGTTAAGAATGAGCCAAGCAAGAAGCCAGACTGTAGGAAGTGGCAACCACCTCATGCTGGTTTCTTGCTTGGCATATTCTTTGGCCCTGAAGGTGGAGGCAAAATGTTGCTCAGACGTCTGTTTACTTCCTGTGGACAACATGGCATTATGGTCCAGAAGATAGGACTCTTCATAACAACCAATGTGAGAACCTCAAATCCTACATACTGTACGGACGCATGGAATACATTAAATTTGGCTGCATTTTGGTTTTAAAAGTAAAAGGAAATACAGATTGTATATGTTACTGTAAAAGCCCGAGTTATGGTAAAACCTACATTCTATACCTCAATCCTGGGTTTTAAAAGAATTTGGGCTTTTACAGTGACATATGTGTATATGCTGTAAGTTTAAACTGGGGTTTTACAACTTAATTTAAACCACAATATGCATTCTGAAAGCCAGTCATATTCAGTAAATCAATATATATTTTCTTTTGCTCATTTAAAAACATGAGACTAGTGTAAATAAATATCTAAATCTTGTCATCTACTCGTTATGCCTCTTTAGTCAGATACTAAATGCAGAAAGACAAGAACCAGACAACACAATTCATTTCAGAATTAAATGAGATTGCAGAATTATGTCAATAGATTATTTCTGTTTAGGTAGTCCTGGTGCTCCGAGGGTTATTGGGGCCTTGGCCAGTGATGGGGAGGGTCATTTGGTGCCCTTGCCGGTACGGCGGGAACGTCCTACTCGTCTCTCAAGACAAGAGCTAGCAAAGGAAGCCAAACGTGTTCTGGCACAAGCTGACAGTGTTGTTTGTTCTAGCCAAGCATTTTTTGATCAGAGCCAAAATGAAAATAAAAATGCAGTGAATTCAGGTAGAAAATTTAGCACACTCCCCCCTCTTAGACGAAAAAGTAAGAAAAGTTATCACAACAGGAGTGACCACAGCTTAGGAGAGGAATCACCTTCATCTTCTCTTGAAAGGCACACTACTGAATATAAGAAAAGTAATAAAAGATTGCACAATATTGACAGCCAGAATGTAAGTAAAGGATCACCAGCATCTTCACTGGACAGAAAATCAATAAAGAGGAGTGGGGGCAGGAATATTGTAGCATCTGTATTCTCATCACTTGATCGTGCTGTGTCTAAGAAAAATAAACATGCACTGGTAGACCAAGATGTAGGTAGTTTCCAGAGCAGCACAAAGAATTCTTCAAGTTTAAATGATCTGGTGGACAGTTCCTCATCATCTCCTGTAAGAATCAAGAAACAGAGGATAGGACTCCAAAGAAGTATAAGTGATGCTGGCTCTAGAAAGTCTGCCAGGAATAATGTTAAGAACAAAAGTTCAGGCGTATTTCTGTCACTAGATCGTCTCACAGCAAAGCAAAGAAAGAATAAAAATAAAACCATTCTGATACACAGTGATAATTCTGACAGATCTCCTGCTCAACCTAGGAAGAACATTTTGAAGAAAAGTTACAGTGATTCAGAATCAACTTCACAGACTGGTGTGAAGGAGGAAAATCATCATCTGCATGGTGAGGGGTGGAAGAAAAAACAGCTTTCACCAATTATTGAGGTTCTGCCACGTGAAGATTATTTCCATGAAAAGAAGAGCCCACAGCCACTTCAGGATTCTGAGAAAACCGATGCCAGTGATAGGGAAGGTACAATGTTACACAGCAGTCAGTTACCTGCGCAGAAACCTACTCTGACGAGAGGCCAAACAGTAGATGCTATGGTGAAACGTCTGAGTCAAGACTTCAACCGAACCTGTGGCCCTCCACGTGGTGTAAACTCTGCTCCAGGTTTAATCACCCCTGAACACCGCCAACACAACAACAACCTGCCTTTTTCATACACAACGCCTACAACACACCAGTATGGGTCCAGTACACCCACAGTGGAGCCCACACGAAATGTCCCGCTCAGTGGCAGACAAGCTGCTGTATCAAGATCCCCCACTGCAGTTGATGGCCAAGTGATCTACGCAGAGGTTGTAGTCAGTGGAGGAGGAAATAATGGTGGAGCAGTCAGCAAACAGACAGTGCATACTAAGGTTCTCCCTATAACACAGTTACAACCAGAAGAACCCATCCAACCAAAAGTTCAAGAACGACAGTTTGAGAAAACACACTTCCAACAGACATCAGAGGCCTTTCCTTCAAAAGCACTCACTACAGAATTATCACAGCCTTACCACCAACAGAACGAGGTAAGAGTGAAAGTCACAAATCAACCATCAGATGAAGACGAGGGTTTGGGTCTAACTATGGAGCATGGTGATTGTAGATACCTGATGGATTATGTCAATGAAGGGAATAGTTGTTGTAGGAAAGGTGTCATGGATAATTACAGAAGTGGGAATAGCTATACATCAAAGGGAGAATTTATGGAAAAGCAAATAAGAAATGGTGAAGAAGAACGAAAGTCCCAGAAGAACTCTTCACGAAGGGAAATTAGAACAGACTACAGTGCGAATAATGTGAGGAAAGAGTATATTTTGCACGAGTCTATATATGAAAGTGAAAATTGTACTTTTGACCCTTCAGCAAGAGGAAGAGCTGATGGAATGGATTCCAGGAAGAAAGATTTCATGATGTCAGAGAGCTACAATGGAAGGGGGTATGATGATGGCATCTATCACCACCACAATGGGGAAGCATGGGATGATGTAAGACAGCATCTCTTAAGTGATAATATGCAAAATGAAAATTACAAGTCAGAATTCCATTCTGATGCTAGGATAATTCCTCCTGATGAAACTGATGGGCATGGTCATTATGTTAGGGATAGAAAAGAGCTCTTATCTCACACTAGAGATAATAATGATCTCAGTTCCAGACGAGATAGACTTGAATCCAGAATTGAAAGCCAAAGGAAGGACCGTTTAACAAGCAACAAATATTCAGACATATGTTACAAAGGAGGTTCTATAGATACACAAAATGAAATTAACAGGAAGTTTGCAACAGATATTACTTCTAACAATCGCCATGATTTTCTCAAATCACAGCTTGACTACGGCAGAAGTAGCATGATGGAGCAAGAGAAACGGCGTGAATGTGGCAAAAATTATGGCTTAAAAAATAGCCAGTATCAACCTTCTTTTAAAACAGAATCTGACAGTTATAATAAGAGAGATTTGTTTGCAGACTCAGGCATTGAGGTTGACTATCGTACCAAAGACTCATCAACAAACAACATGAAATATGATAAACTACCAATCCATAATAATAATAACATGTCTGCAAACAGCAATCAAACACAAAAAATAACCAGAGGTGAGCTTCATAATCATTCTTATGACCATATCAGTGATGATGATGACACAGAAATGGATGGAAGCATTCACCATCACATCATCTCAAACCATTGTAGTGACACAAATGAAGATCATAAAACAAAATCAATTAATATGTTTACTTCCACCAGACTTGTTCAAGAACAGAAACATAGCGAAGCTATTCCATCATCCACTGTACTCATTCGCCACTGGGTTCCTTTGAATGAGGAAGAATCAAATAATTTAAAGAATAAATATACACATGTTTCTAAAACAAATGCAGAGGATACCCAGCAACCTTTGTTGTCAAATGAGGAATATGAAGAATATGAAATGTCAGGGAAAAAGGATGAATATAAGAAGGAGCCTACAGAGGAATACAAGAAAACTGATAACAAAGAGAAACAAAATGAAGAAAAGGAAGAGAAAAAAGTGACAAAAAAGAAACAGAGTTCAACAATTGATAAGATGAGACAGTTGTTTATGCGTAGTGACAAGTCAGCAAAAAAGGACAAGAAAAAAGAAGGGAAAGTGAAAGTAATGGTAGAAGGGGATGAAGAGGAAGATCCTCTAACTTCTCGTTACACAGAATACAGGGGAAGTGATATTGATTTACACCAAGAAAGTCCCAGAACTCCCCACCGAGACAGAATCAATCCTAGAGGTAGCAATGTGCAGCTTGAACAGCAAGAAACACCAGGACCAGGACACAGAAACTGGAGACCCTTAGAATCAGGAAGTCCCAAGGTTACAAGATATATGGATCAAGATACAGCCTACCAATCATTCCACAGAGGAAGAAGTCAGCATACCAGGGCAAGCAACACAGACCTAGATGAAAGTACTCCCAGACCACCTCGGCCAGAAATCAAGAGGGGAGGACAGCCTTCTAGTGTGGAAGAACAAAAGGTAAGGGTCTCAATTTTAAAGTAGTGATGTGTGATAATATTACATGTGCCAAATCCACAGTAAAGAATTTTCTTTATGAAGATGAAAGTTATTCAACTCAGAAAATATTCTCCCTTTATGGAATTTGCAGATTCGTGATTATCATCAAAGTGCACAATTGGACTGTATCCTAAGCCAGTTTAATTCATTATAGTTCTTCTTGATAAATTTCCTTAAAATTTATTTTATAATATCCTCACATCCGTTCCTAGCCCTCACAAGTGGTCTTTCCCACAGAGTTTACAAAAGAAAATTTTATACCATTTCTTTTATCTTTGTGTGCTACATATTCCATCCCTTTCATCTTGATTTCACCGTCCTACAGCATTAAAGAGGAGTAAAAATATGATATGCCTCATTTTGTATGACAGATTTCAGGTTCTCACAGAGCTGACCGAATAATGCTATCTTTGGCTGTGTGATGTATAGTGTGATAGAAGTTCACAAACATCTTAAAGAAATGTAGTGCCTCTATCTTCAGGGTAGACAAGGCAGTATATTCTCCAAAATATCAGTAACTTCTACCAGTCTATATAACATCACATCCCAGAAGACAGTATTCTTCATCATTTTGTAATTTTCTGTATTTTTGTAATATTACTCCTCTCTTAGATCCACGTATTCTCAGTTTGTTCCCAAAGTTCCTCAGTTTCTGTTGTTCCCATAGAATAATACACTTTGTTTCACGCCTATATAAAACAAATATATTTGAATTTGTAGGGTGTATAGATGAGATGGGAGACAAGATTGTGTTAAGTGTATTAAATTTTAAACATTCAATATTTATTATGTGATAAATTTTCAACTGACCTTGAGTTTGAAAGAAATGTTTGCAGACTAATAGATAAACGAAAATTATCCATTCCACATGTACAGATGAATGAATGAACGAATGAATGAATGAATGAATGAATGAATGTATGAGGGGTTGGCCTTCTCGGCCCTTGCACCGCAACCTCAGTGGTCTATTGTGCTTCCCCCTTTCTAATTATTCCCTCAGCAACCCCGCGCTTCGGATGAAGCGCAGGATTTTGAACATGGGGGCGTCAAAATAGTCACTTGGTTCCATAAAGTATTGACCCAAATGATGCAGTCTTGAATAAGCTAAAGCCTCACATTCACATAGGATGTGTGTGTGGGTGTTTCGTTTTCTATCTGACCCCTCTCACAAGTGGGACTATCACCTAGTCCCAGATTGAACAGGTGTCCTTTGAGGAGACAGTGTCCTGTAAGCAGTCCTACCACCCATCGTAGCTGGTTCCTGTTTAGCTTCAACAGTTGCTTCGCTCTTTTAGTGGAAGGTCCTTGTATGAGTCCCTTTGCTTGCCTGAGTCCAGTCCAGTTAAGGATCCCCAGTATTTCTTATGTTTTATGTTAGTCCAGTCCCTGATTGCCTGTTTGGCAACTCCTTTAGAGATGCCACAGGCTGGTTCAGGTCCTATGAACGGATGTTCAGCTCCAATTTTAGCTAATTGGTCTGCTGCTTCATTTCCAGCAATACCCTCATGCCCAGGCACCCATATCAATTGTACCCTGTTATGTTTGGCCAATTCCATGAGGGTTCAGTGGCAATCCCAGACCAATGTTGAATTGATCTGGTGTTTGTCAAGCACTTTAAGTGCACCTTGGCTGTCAGATAGAATGTAGATGTTCCTATTTCTATAGCTCCTATCTAAATTCTCCATAATACATGCTTTAATGGCATATACTTCTGCCTGGAATACTGTCATGTACTGCCCAAGGCTGAAACTAAGTTTCCACCTCGTGCCATGGCAGTACACGCACGCTCCAGTGCCCTTATTTGTCTTGGAACTATCTGTATACCAGATCAGTCCCCCTTTTCTATCGGGCTGAAACCCGTCTTCCCATTCACTCTGGTCAGGAAATCTGACTGTGAAGGGTTTTTCATATACATGTCTCAGTATCATTTTGTCAGACCCTATTTGTAATATGGGCTCTTTTTTCATGTCCTGGGTCATGTATGCATGGCCGAAACTATCAGATCTATGTGTCCATTGTCCACTGCACTGGAGACGGTAAATTCCTGCCCTGGCCTCTGCATCCAACTGTACATGCAGTGTGGGGAGTCCAAGGAGTATCTCCAGTGCAGCTGTTGGAGATGTTTGAAATGCTCCTGTGATACCTAAGCAAGCCAACATTTGCAATTTGCTAAGTTCTGTCTTGCTTGTCTTTAGTTTAACTCTGGGCCACCATACTGTGGCACAGTAAGTAATTATGGGTCTCACAATCGCAGTGTATATGCAATGTATAACGTGTGGCTGCAGTCCCCAAGTTTTACCAGACATGCTTCTGCATGTCCAAAAAGCCTTATAGGCTTTGTTAATGACTTTGTCCAGCTGCTTTTTCCATGTCAGTCCCTTGTCTAATTCTAGACCAAGGTACTTGACATCACTGGAGAGCTGGATCATCTTATTGAAGAGAGTCGGTTCCTTAAGACCCTTTATATTTCTCTTCCTAGTAAACGGTACAATTAGCGTCTTATTGGGATTGATGGAAAGACCTGTTCTCTCACACCATCGTTGGACCATGTACAGAGCTGTTTGAAGACGCTTTGATATGGTCGAAAGGAATTTTCCATTTATGAGGATTGCTATGTCATCAGCATATCCTACTGTATAATACCCATCATCATTAAGTCCCCACAGGAGATCATCCACGACCAGACTCCACAGCAGAGGCGAATGTACGCCCCCCTGTGGACATCCCCTAGATGCGGACGCCCCCAGGGTTTCTCCTGATAATGTAGCATCTATGGTTCTGCTTTCCAGCATAGCATTGATCCATCTGCATATTGCAGGCTCTATGCCATGCCTTCCAGCAGCCTGATCGATTATATCAAATGAGGTTCTATCAAAAGCTTCCTCTATATCAAGGAATGCTCCTAAGGCAATATCCTTGTGTTCAATTGCACTTTCTATGCGTGTTACCACATTGTGTAGCGCACTTTCGGTAGATTTACCTGTTTGGTAGGCATGTTGGTTTCGGTGTAGAGGATATGTCCTCAACACCCCATTCCTGATATGCCTATCCACTAGTTCTCCATCGTTTTCAAAAGGAAAGAGGACAGGCCGATAGGATGATAAGCCTTAGCATCGGTATAATCAAGTTTCCCGGGCTTTGGAATAAACGTCACCTTCATTTGCCTCCAGGCTGTGGGGATAAAACCATATGCCATGCAGGCTCTATATATGCGGCGTATATGTGGAACTAAAAGTTTCTCCCCATGCTGCAAAAGTGCCGGTACAATTCCATCTGTTCCCGTTGATTTAAATGGTCTAAAAGTGTTCAGTGCCCATCTTATTTTTGGTTGATTAATTATGACTTTGGCCAGGTTCAAGTCTACCCTGTATATTAACCGGTATATTAACAGTATTGATCTGACCATAACAAGATGTTAGACACTGTAAACATTGTACTCGTACATGTCTGATGTGTAAACATCCATTTGTGCCCTGATTAAGTAAAGGTCAAATAATATCTTCTTCGTGAAATATTCAAATATTCTATTCTATGGACAGAATTCTAACCTCTGCTACAGTGCTCAACAATCTTGTCTGCATAAGGGCCAATTTAAAAACCTGAGAACCATACAGCGGTATTATTCTTGCCTTGTACACGAACTGAATGGTTAACTGCTTTGAGGCTCGTGGTATTGGTGCAGTATTATTTAGCATTTGTCTGGAAATAATATGACAGTAATAGGTATTAAGTTTATTGTGATTAACTATTGATTTGGAGTGGATATTATGGTTGTACTGTTTACTTACTGTTTATCCGGTGCCTGATTTTATGTGCGTATGTCCATTCTGGTGGGAAGACAGATTGCAATTGATTTAGTGGTATATGATGTTGGTGGAATTGTTGCAATGGTGGGAAGGGAGGGGGGAGGTAGAGATAGTGTGTGTAAGGATGTTAAAAATTTGCATAGAGCACAGACATGTGACAAAATAAAGCATAAAATGAAACAATTTAGCATGACTCACAAATATCTGATGATGGCCATATCTGATGGAAACCTGTAGTATGATGCATATATAAGAGAAAGTAAGTGTTGCATATAAGACAGTAATATTTTGTCACGTGGTGCGTGTGAATATAGATGGGGTTCAGATTGGTGGATGGAATTATTGACCATTTATACACACGGCTCGGAACTACAGCAATTACAGCGCCACCGCATATCTCCACAATTCACAGATTACCACAGCACCCACTAAGCCTTTTCCAGCATGTTATATCATCACCAGGCTTTCGCTGGCAACGGCTTCTAACAGTGGAGTTTCTTCAGCTTCACGCTCTCAGATTCTATCTTCGCAGCCCCCAGTTCAGAACTCAGCTAAACGCACTGAGCTCCAAGCCTCCCCATTATAACATCTAGGCATGACCACATAGAAAACATTTCTTCTATTGCGGGCGTTGCCTAGCAACGGCTGTTTACATAGCGCTTAGCAACGGATCTATATGCCACGATATGTATACGAAACTATAATATTAGTGCAGCAGGATGCTTAAGTACAATGTTATCACGCTGATAAATATATCCCAGATACAGAGGAGAAACTACTTATTTTCATAGTTTTTATTAGCTTTGACATTTACTACAGGTTTTGAGAAATATTGTGATTATTTTCCATTGAGATCTCCCTTGAAACTTGTGATCAGGTTTTTGTTATGATGCCTTGAAATAGACATATCCTGTAATTAGGTTAATTAGAAATCCAGTGTCAAGCAGATCGTTAACTCTAAATTTTAATGACACATGCCATTTATGGAAATAAACTCCATACTGACAGATTATGATATCATTTAGTGAGAGCTTTTAGGCTCACAGACAGAAGTAAATTTGTGTGATTCCTTTTTACACCTATCTTAACACATCTCTGCTGGAAGTCCCCATCACCCTGGAATCTTATGAGTTCAAAGACATCTATTTCAGGAAA